AAAAAAAAAAAAAAAAAAAAAAAAAAAAAATCAGAGTGAGAGTAGATGTAGGTATAGATCCATTTGGCTTTTATTTGTAATTCAAGAATCTGGGCAGCCTGTATTCTATCAAATATCAAATAGAATGAGAGCCCCCACTAAATAATGGCAGAAAAGTGGGTTTATAAAGTGGGAACAAGGAAGCAACCATAGAGAAAAAAGCACGTTGATAAATGTCACGTTACTTTTTTTTTTTTAAAGAGTTAAAGTGTAGGAGACAGCCTCAATACACTGACTCAAGTAGATTAGAATCGCTTATTTTCAGGTGTGTTTTAGGATTTGTCTGCTTCTGTAAAGTTTCAGTTTGACTTTGCATTTAGTATAAGTGACTATTTTGGTTTGGTCTGATCATTTAGGATAGTGGTGGCACAAACCTGTGGCACATATGCTACAGCATATGTTTATTAGCACTGAAAGTTCTAAAAGGTTCACCATCAATGGATAGGAGCTCAGTCCAGAAAAGTGGGCTCCTGTGATTTTTGTTTAGTAAAGGGGAGCAAGAAATTTTCACCTGATGTATTAATTGGCATTACACATCTTATACTTTAGTCAGACTACTTGCTGTTGCTCAAACATATCCTTCTGCTATCTACATCCATGTTGTGTGTGTGTGTGTGTGTGTGTTTGTACTGGGGATCGAACTCTGGACCTTGCACTTGAGAGGGAGGTGGCGGAACCACTGAGCTAAGTCCCCAGCCCTATGTGTGTTTTTTCCTCAAATAAGTCTGTCTCATCCCTTCTACCTTTTAAAATTCTACCAGGCTTTTTTCATATATCAGGTGTGGCGGTGCACATCTGTAATTCTAGCACTTCGGAAGACTAAAGCAGGGTGATTGAAAATTTGAGTTCAGTCTGGGCAACTTAGCAAGACCTTGTCTCAAAATTAAAAAAAAAAAATTAAAAGGGGTTTGGGATGTAGTTCATTGCAAAGGCTCTAGGTTTAATCTGTAATATGCGGAAAAAAAAAATGAGTAACTCTTCTTTAAAACCAGAAGAGGAGATTTCTATATATCCTTAATCTCAATTTTCACGTACCCTTATCTGACATAATATTATCTTGCCTAATGTATTTTAATGCCTAAAGGTTTTAAGATAATCACAGTATCATATATCTTTATTTTTAATGAATATAAATTGATACTTTGTGTTTTTCACTTACTTATGATTGCAGTACACTATCTGTCATTATCATTAGTAGTGCACAATTCAACAGAACCAATATATTACAAATTTAGTTAAATAATTATGAAGCATTGAAAGTAAAACTGTAATGGAGGTATATCCTTCACCCTTAATTAGTTCCTATATCTGGATAAATATTATTTTGCATGAGACTGGATTCAAATTCACACTCCTGTTTTTCAGAGTTATAAATACAAGTGCTTTGAAACCTTATCACCTTAAGAAGATGGAAGTGTTTTTGTTTTTATTTTTGTTTTTTTGTACTAGGGATTGAACTTGGGTCCTTGCGCCAAGCGGTGGAATCACTGAGCTAAATCCCTGGCCCTGGAAGTCTTTTTTTTTAACCTCTTCCATGTCATTTGTACAACAAAATCACATGTTGACCTATCATCAAAAATTGTTTTGAATGATTTATGAAATAGTCATTCATTTAAGATCCCCTTAAATTTTGCTGAAAGCCAAATGTTGAAAAACATCTGACTTGCGAAAGTATTTATTACCCATTAGTCCTCTAAAGCTTTTATAAAATTTATTCAAAATCATAAGTTGCTCTTTCATTTAGAGTTCCCTTAATTTGTATGCTCTGATAATGCTAAGGAAAATGGAAAATATTATTTTAGTACTTCTTTCCTTAACAGTTTTTAAATGAAAGATGTTTTCATGTTACCATATCTTGAATGTTTTTTTGTCAAAACTTTTAGGTCAAACTTTTATTTGCTTATTGAATTATCAGTTTTGGTTAAAATAGTTATATAATCTAGTTTGTGAAAGTAACCAATCAAGTAAGATTGCTTAATTGTATGAGAAAAATGTATGACTTCATTTTTAGACTAATACATTAATAGTCATTTTTAGAAATATTTTTGAAACCCTGAGAAATAAATTATTAAATACATTTGTAAAAGATTATTCAAATAAACCAGGATTAAAATGATACAAAGGTAAAAATCAATTCAGAAAATAACGTTAAAATTATGATAATGCTATTTCTCATTGCTTTAATTATAAAACAGTAAGTGGTTTCTGAAGTGAGAAATATAATTAAAATATAATATTCCTTTAATACATCTGTATCAATCCCAACTATACTGAGCTTCTGAGAATTTGAGAATTACCTACACGAGTAAGAAATGCATTGGTTTTGTTTGGCTGAGTCCTCCTCTCCCTCCCCTCTCTTTCCACCCCTCCGCTTCTCTTTCCTTCCCCTTCCCTTCCTGTAAAACTGGAATTTGAACCTGGGGCCTTCACTGAGCTACACCCTAGCCTTTAAATTTTTTTTAATCTTGAGATGGTCTTGCTAAGTTGCTAAGGCTGGAGTCAAATTTGTGATCATTCTGCCTTAGCCTCCCAGAATTTTAGAATCATACTCTTCCTGTGTATAAATGGAGGAAGAAAGTGTGAATTGCTAAAAATGTGATTTGTGTTAAAATATATGTGAATTGCTAATGGATTGTTCATGGAATACCTGCATGTCTGCAGTGGCATTCTGACTTCCTATTCCCCTGTCTGTCTCTGAGGAAAACAGATCATTCTCTTTTATATATAGAATGGGTGTGCATTATTCTCAAAACCAGAGTTCTTGAAGCCTTACCTTTTACCCTGAGCATTTATCCACAGTTTATTTCATATTCCCCTGAAACAAATTTTACTATTAGCTGCTAAGAAAAAGACGCTTTCTATTGTTAAGCCTAAAATTTCAGGATTTATGTCCTTGATATACAGTGAATTTTAGATGGGAGAGTTTCATAACCAGAACACTTACTGCTTGCCTCACAGCAGGACAGAACATTCCCATACTCCAAGAAGGCCAGTAATAGGTAGACGTCTACAGCTTCCCCCAGTAGAAACACAGAATCAGTCACTTAAGTGGAAATTCGTGGACCTTGTTCTCTTTCTAATGAGTTGCTCTTATAAATCAGATTACAGAACACATTAGCAGTGATTATATATTAGCTTTCACGGGTAATGTAATTTATTGCAGCAGATACTCTGCCCTCTGGAGACCTGTTTTTGGTAATAATTAATACCAAGTATCACAATATGTCCTTGCAGTTTCATTGTGAGTTTGAGTTTCCAGGTGGCTTCTGAATTTGACGTAAACATTTGTTAAGGCAACAAACAATAGAACATTAAACCATTATGCTAGATTTGGAGATATTGTTAACATTTTGTTTTTTTTTTTTTTTTTTTTTTTTTGTTC